CAAGTCTGATTATATGTCGATCACAGTAATAGGAATCCATATAGTAGAGCTAACAAACATAAAAAGGCTCCCTTGAAACCATTTAATGCTGTGTTTACTCTGGTAGCCCACCCGCCTGTTCAAAATGGAATATGAAACCACTTTCGTGCTTTTGGGTTTTATATTTTAGGTTAAGACTACAATGTACTAAACATAAATAGTAACTCAAATCTTTGGTAGGTTGAATGTTTTCCACCTACCTCTGGAAGCTTAAGGACTTTGCAGTATTTGACTCCATTCCTTAACCTTTAAAAAGGGGGAAAAAACGTAAGTTTGGTGAAATAAGAACAATATCACCATCACCACCACACACACACAGCAAACATAAACATGGCTTATTCTAATGTAACCCATATTAAAGCATTTACTTCAACCTCCAAGCTGAAATCTTACTTTGTAGACAGTTGCACAGAACAGACAAGAAGCGGTTTTTGGGGATGGAAAAAAAAACAGGCTGATATACACAGTTGAATTAAATTCCTGAACAAAAACAGAAGTTGCTGGAAATGCTCAGCAGGTCTGGCAACATCTATGAAGAAAAAAAAAAAATCAGAGTTAACGTTTCAGGTCCGGTGACCCTTCCTTAGAACGGTCCTGTTTTACTTCAGACCGAGATTACCTACAGCCTAATGAACCAAAGGTAACATATAAAGTCCAAGGTAAACGTTGGTCAGCAACATCACCTCATGGTCCAAACTGGATATCTTAAAAATTGGAATGCACTCTCCTCTCTCTCCACTTCCTCACTCCCCTCAACTTCTGTCGAGATTACATTTACCCGTAAAGCTAATTCTCTGCATAGAAGCTTCTGAGTACATGTCGCATGCAAGAAAAGTCAAATTGATTATTGGTTATTTAATCGCTTGCTTAAAGGAAATTCTTGCACCCGATCAGAATGATTCCTAAGCTCGTGGAAAGACCGCTAAAAGACAGACAAGTACGTATTCTGACTTACTTTTTACATCGCTCACAACTGTACATATTGTCACCTACAAAAAATATTAAAGACAGTTCAAGAGAATCCAATACATTTACTGCTCAAGACTTTAAAAATTACCTAGTTTCCAACTGCTCATTAATAATGTCTAGAAAGCAAAACAGATGTAAAACACGGGGTTACGGAAGAGAGTAAATGCAAATTCAACTGAGGTCTTTGTTTTAAAAACTCAAGTAGTTTAAAAAAAACAAATACTTGCATTTATATAACAGCGCTCACAATATTCCAAAGTGCTTTATAGCCAATTAAGTATTTTTTTTGAAGTGTAGTCAATGTTGCAACATGGGAAACATTGTGGCCAATGTGTACACAGCAGGCTCCCGCAAACAGCAGCTGGAGGATAATCAGTTTATTTAGAGTAATGTTGATTGAGAGTTAACAATTGGCCTGGACTGTTCCAATTTGAAATAACATTTCCCAAGGCACCTGCTTCAATGCAGGCCTCACTGTAAACGGGAAAAGCTTAGAGCTACCCAGGTGATGCACTGTTCATGTTACGGGAAATCACAGATAAAAGATACTATGTGAGATGTGGTGTGGGAAAACTGACTTTACATTGTCAATACTGACTTGAGATTAAGGCTGTGGAATTCACTATTGGGGTTTAGCAGCGGAAACAGAAACCAGGGCAAAATGGAATTGGATAGGTGAGTGAAGGAAGATGGGGTATGAGAACAAGGTGGGTAAATGCCAACATGGACTGGTTGGGCTGAATGGCCTGTTTCCATGTTGTAACTTCTATGTATTTCTATGAAAATCAAACAGTACAAAATAAATCTCAATGAACTCACCCTTCAGCTCATCAGCAGCAAAAAAGGCAGCTAAGCAGTCTTCTAAAGTCACTACAGGACCCCAAAACCAGCTTGGGATGCAGGACACAACAAACCTGCAATGAGAATTGTATAAGCACTACAATGAGTCAGAATGACTACTTGGTTTTGAGGTAAAGTCAAGAGTTAGAAAACCAGGAGCAAAAGTATAGGCTTTAAGCTAAAAGAAAACTAGCATATAAAATAATCCTATTAAGTTTGTATTTAAAGCATTGATGTGCAAAGATAAAAAATTATCAAGTTTCAGTTTAGAACTTGAAAATTTCTCTATTTTGTCTAATACTCCCTAATTTGCTAACCCTCGAGACAATTTCATGCATGAGCATTTGAAACTCTGAACAGAGCTAAAATTTATGCTGCAGGAAATGCAGTCAATTACCTGCAATGCAACAGTAACTCACGAGTTCAGTGAAAGGAGGTCAGAGATAGGAAGGCTTCCTGCTAAGTGATTCTATGAATTTGCAGTAGTGCGATTAGGAGGCTGATAGTACAAAGGTTGAATACACTAAATATGATCATAACACAAATATTCAAGAAGTGGACGAAGAGACAAAATATCCAACCAAACCAACATGCAAGTTATTTAGAAATGAGATAAGCTGCATGAGGTCAGGATATCCCTCCACAGCACCTTTCTTTTCTCTGTCCTAAGGAAGAGCTGCTCTCCTATTCAATGTTTCACTTTCACACCACCACTCATTCCCAAAATCAAGAATATGCAATTTGTTTAATAAAATATTTATTTATTGGTGGTGTCAATTTAGGGTAAAATAAACTTGCATCAAAGGAAGACAAGTTTAAACAAATACGGAGCAAAGCAACACCAGTTATACACAAAGTATGATTTAAAAGAAATGTAACATCTCCTTAGAAAACAATAACGTGGTGAATATGCAAACATTGTACTAACTCAAAATTTATAACGAGTACTGAAACTCAGTACGTTGCTTGGACGGCTCAAACACGTGCTGTAGTCTGCAATACCTAGTAGGTTTTGCAAACACTTATTTACCTTCTAATATAATCCATAATGAATGCAACCCATCCTTGTGTAGTGTAGGCATCACTACAAGTGCCTGTTTTCACTGGTACGTTTTGGTGGATGGACGCATGCAGTTTAGCTAGGTCTTCTTTCCCAGGAATTGGCAATGACAAATCCTGAAATGTTTCCACTGTGGAAGAAATCTGCAACAGGAAAGAGCCAAGAATATTCACATACAAAACTAGAAATCCAAAATTACTGCTGGCTCTGTGCACTGTGCAATTGATAGTTCAAGCAAATGGATCGCACCTTGAATCAACATTGCACTCAGTGCACCATTTCTCCTCCTGCTAACTTTATTCTTAAGTTTTAATTGTACAAGTAGTTTCTCATTACCTACCAAAGCCACTGCTTGTATCATATGGCCTCTTTCATTCAGGATACATCAAGATGGGACGTGCAGAGTATTTATTTTATTCTTTGATGGGATTTCACTACCCCTAGCAAGACCATTATTTGCCTATCCCCAATTTCTCTTAAACTGAGCGGTTTGTTAGGTCATTTCAGAGGGTTGTTGAGAATCAACCATACTCCCATGAATCTGTCCATACATACAGGCCAGACTAGGTGAGGACAATCAATGGTTAAACAGATGAGTGTTTTATATGAAGTACTGATAGTTTTTCTTACTGAGACTAGCTTTCAATTTGTTTTTAATTAACATTCCACCAGCTGTCATGGTGGAATTTGAACTCGTCCCCAGATCTGGACCTTAGGCTTACTAGTGCAGTGACATCAGCAGTATGCTGTCTCCCCATAAAATTGCAGCCGTCAGCTCTCTACAAATAGAAGCTCCGATCTTCGTAAGGAATCATCTTTATGGACACTTATACATGTATTGAGCTACCAATAGTAGTCCAGGTATCAATACTAGACTGAAAATTTGCCTCGGGGAAAAAGCCATCTAAAACTAAAACAACCCTTTTCTTTTGGGTTATCAACCTTGTCTCGAAGATGGTATTTCCATTTTAGTCGTTAAGGTCGTATGTTCAAATTCCACTCCAGAGTCATAAGTGCATATAACTCGGGCTGCTGCTTCTACTACTTTGGGAGCTTTTAAAATCTTCACCTATGAATTTCAAGGAATTCTGTAGTTGTAAGAACATCAATTTTCAGTGGCAGATGTTAAGTGGACTAATTAACAATTTGTCATGCTGTCAGACTGAAACAAACAAAAATTTTTCATGGAGAATTTAGTTTGCATCCACTACACAAATACAGCAAATTGACACCATGCAACAGTGAGGCATATAGCAGGATATTATTTTCACAAAGCTAATAAGAGAGCAGTACACCTTAGGTAGCTACTTTTGGATATCCTTGTTTAACCTTGCACCAGTCTCCCACCAAAAAATCATTGCACTCAACAATTCTGCTTCAAACAATATAATTCTGTCATGAGAATGTTCACCTAGCCGTTACAAGAGAGAGTCCATTTGGCATGCATCAGTCACGGAATAAGAAAAACTTAAAAGGATATAATTACTCTCTTAAAAACACAAGTGATACTTACTCTATCACATGTGAGACATTGGACTAAGCTCAAAATTGACCCATCAAAGATATCAGAAATAACACTGCGGTACTTGGCCTGCTTTTTCTTTTTGGTAGATAATAGAAGTTGAGCTGAGTGAACAAAGATAGATAACTGAATTACAATATATGCAGTGTGACTGAAATAAAGTTTCATAAAATCAATATTGTTAAAAAACAAGATGACTTGATTAATGGGGTATTTGGAGACATTAATTTGGATGATTTGGATTACCATTACTGAATCCCTCACTACCAACATCCTGGGGGCTGTCATTTACCAGAAACCACAAACACAGTGGCTACAAAAGCAGGTCAGAGACTAGGAATGCTGTGGCAAGTAACTCAGCTCCTAACTCTCAAAGCCTGTCCATCATCTACTAGGCACAAGTCAGGAGTGTGATTGAATACTCCTCACTTGCCTGATGAGTGCAGCTCCAATATTCAAGAAGCTTGACACCATCCAGGACAAAGCAGCCCATTTGATTAGCCTTACATCCACAAGCATCCACTTTCTCCACCACTGATGCTCAGTAGCAGCAGTGTGTACTACCTACACATGGACTGCAGAAATTCACGAAAGATCCTGAAACAGAACCTTCCAAATCCGACCACTTCCATCTAGAAGGACAAGGCAGCAGATGCATGGTAACACTACATTCATGTTCTCCTCCAAGCTACTTACCATCCTGACGTGGAAATATATCGCCATTCCTTCACTGTCAATGGTTCAAAATCCTGGAATTCCCTCCCAAACGGCTTTGTAGGTCAACCCATAGCAGGTGGGCTGCAGCAGTTCAAGAAGGCAGCTCACCACCTCCTTCAAGAGCAACTAGGGAAGGGCAATAAATTCCGGCCAGCTAGAGATGCCCACATCCCACAAATGAATTAAAAAGCCCTATAATTTAAAATATCTTTTTCAACATTAACAGAGTTAGACAGGCAGTCGTACCTTTCCATAATCAAGACCATGTTATATACCAGGTCTCCAATTGGCAAATATGCTACCATTTCAGCTATTTAAAAAATATTAAGCATACTGACAAGAAACATTCTTTGAGATGCAAAAGTGCTCAAGATAAATAAAAATAGTACACACAAAACAAAGAGCTCTGAACCAACATCAAAATTTTCCGGTTAAGAACTCAGCTCAAGAAAAATAACAAGGAAATGATCATTTTTAAACTACCAGGGAGAAGGGTACCTTTTTTGAGGGAAAACGATGACACTGGTCGCATTGGACTTGATCGAGGTGGACTGCTGGACAAATTGGAATGAAGTTCCTGATGGATGGGACTGCAGGACCGCGATGTGCAATGCATGTTTACGTCATTGTCAGGTTCTGGGAGAGATAAACAGCAATCAAGCTGAATAGATTATATTGCATTGCCTCTCAGCAAAACTTGCTGCACATCGTACATTATAGTCAACTTTACACAAGAGAGCAGGGAGCCGCATCGCTCAACTGAAAAAACTATCAGGATAGAAAAAAATTCATTTCCATTGTCCGAGTTTCAATTCCGAGCCCTGCTGTAAACTAGGACTTCAACGCTTTATGAATATTATTCTATTTTTCTCTCCACCAAAGCACTTACAATAAGTGCTGCCAACAAACTAGCTCCAAAACAACTGCATCTAATAGCAGTATACCAAAACATGCCTAGGATGTTTTAACACTGAGGGGCGTGAGATTCTGAGTGCAAACTGATTCTTGACACTCTATATAAAGTCAAAGAACACATTTTATAAACATTAAACAGCACACCTGGTGTTCTGCAAATACTGTTGGAAGCCGTGGAAGTGGGAGCATCTCCAGAACCTCCAGCATCTCCAGAACTCAGAGATGTGTCCACATCTGCATCTTCATCAATTGCATCCACCGTCCCCAATCTATGGTGTCCACATGAAAATTTTCGGTCTTTCTGCCTCTCCTTTTCGGAAATTCCTTTCCCGCATTCGTCCTGAATTAGGAGCTCAGTCTCAATCTGCTTCTCAGCAGTATACCTGCTTCTGTTCTCCCCTTCCCCTTTGTCGCTGCTTGCGCCAGAGTCACAAGACAGAAATTCGTCCTCTGAAGGGCTTCTGTCACCATCACGCTTTTCATCCGTGTCACTTGAGCAATCAGAGTCTCGCTCAGACAAGGGTTCCTTAAGTTCTTCATGGAGTTGATCCATCAAACAGCGGAGAAATTCCTGTGTGTCCTACAAAGTCAAAAGGAGTACAGGGGATGAAGCTCAAATTTACCTGTTAAACAGTAGGTGACAACTCTGCTGTGCTTATAGTCATTGACTTGACTTTGAGATAATACCCAGCAATCCATGGGAAATTAGCAGTTCAAATTATCAGTACTGCAATATTTGCAGGAGGAACTCCAACACTACCCAGCAAACAGGGGTCTCTGGTGGCAGAAAGTGGTTAAGGCAGCCATTCAATCCTAAGCAAAATTCATTGATTCAAGACTAGAATTAAATTAATTGTTCAATCATGACCTGTTCACAAATGGTTGATTCCAAGTAGTGCTGACCATCCAAATAGTTCAACACCGAACTGACAGATGTAAGGTTTAGGTCTGGTTATGCTCTGTTGTTCTAACATTTATTTCTTCATTTCTTATGTTATATCACCTCAAAATATACTTTATTGGCTGAAAAACGCTTTAAGGTATCCTGAAGGCAACATCAGTTTTTCATTTTCAGCTGACACTCGAGTGTAGTGCTGACAGAGGCTATACCATCAGAGGAAATGACTATTACGAGGGGGCATAATTTTAAAGGAGGAAGGTATAGGGGAGATGTCAGAGGTAGGTTCTTTACACACAGAGTGGTGGGCACGTGGAATGCGCTGCCGGCAGTGGTAGTGGAGTCAGATACTTTAGAGACATTTAAGCGACTCTTGGATAGGCACACGGATGATAGTATAACATAAGGCATGCAGGATAGTTTGATCTTAGTAGGATAATAGGTCTGCACAACATCATGGGCCAAAGGGCCTGTACTGTGCTGTAATATTCTATGTTCTACATTCTATGGATGCCTTTCCAATGAGGCTTTTTTGAAGATTCACACAGGGAGTGCTGTGTGGAACAAGCTGCCAGAGGAAGTTGTGGAGGCTGGTACAATTACAACAGTTAAAAAGCATCTGGATAGGTACATGAATAGGAAGGATTTAGAGGGATATAGGCCAAATGCTGGCAAATGGGATTACATTGATTTAGGATATCTGGTCAGCATAGACGAATTGGACCGAAGCTTCTGTTTCCATGCTGTACATCTGATTGTGTGTTATCTAATTGGTTGGATATACACACGTTGAACTAAACATTTTTCAAACATAAGACACAGCAGAAAAAACATTGCATTTGCAAAAGAACACAGGCTGCCAGATAGAGATACTGAGATGCAACATTTAGAACAGTTACATGACTGTAAAAATGTTGTTATTTTGACAGCCAGTTACAGAGAACTTGGCTCAGGTTTCTCATTTTCTCTCAAACCTTTCTCAATGTTTGCAAGTTGAAAACCCAATGAAAGACCATCATCACAGGTCGAGGGTTCTTAAAGGAGAAGTCTAAGTTTACATCACCGTCTCCAGGAAAACAGGATCATACCTGACCGAGAGAAAGAAATTCCAGTACCGATAGCTTGTGCAACAAGTTACAGCTGCACACCAGCATTTTGGACTTTGGCCAAGGAGCAATTATTCTTGAGATAATATGCTGGATATTTTTTTAAAGAAGAAAACATGATATCCCTGATTTAGTGGGAGTTGAATGTGTTATTTTTTTCAAAAAAGTTATTTGGATATATCTGCACAATTTAGCACTTTTTGAAATTATCTTTGCACCTTTGCTCGAAGAAGATTTTTGCAATAAGTTCTTTGTTTTGTCATTTTAAAAGAAATTGGTCAACTTGCTCCTGATGCAGAGTGACACATTGACAATTCATATATTGACAATATCAGTTCCTTTCTAAATTCCAGCTTTGTGGTGGCCAGTGGAGGAGTGAGAGAAGGCATCAGTCCACCCTTCCAAATGATTATTAGGGGAATCGAAGGTTACAAGGAAAGGAAAGGAGACAGGAGGAATGTCAGGATCAGCCATGATTCTATTGAATGGTAGAGCAGGCCCAATGGGCCAAATGGCCTACTCCTGTTCCTATTTCTTACAGTCTTATGGTCTTAACTGGGATAGAACAAATCAATAGTTCTAACTCAATCATCCCTCTTAGGTGCATGTATAAGATCTCATTACACTACTTTGAAGAACAGCAAAACAGAAAGAATCTTGTCATTATGACATGTTTGCTTGTGTGACTTTGCTGGGTAAAATTCTGACGTCTACATTTTCTGCATTATAACAATTCCACTTCAAAGGACAATCTTACATTGTCCATGTACTTTCATAGATGAATAGAAGCTTAGAAGGTAGGAGCAGGAATGGGACATTCTAACTCAAGCCGGCTTGATCACGCCTGTGTCAGTGAACTCCACAGGCTCAACCCCTCCCCACTTAGGTAATTGTCCTTATTTGATTATCTTAATGATTCTTAGCTGTAATTTACAAGACTTTTTTTTTTAATTGTCTGTTTTCCTCCCCTCTCTTCACTTTTCAAACAAGAAAATTTTCTTGCCATCACTTAACACATATCCCTTGAGTAATACTGGCCTTCCTTAGGATGATTTTTATCTCTTTTCTGCCTTGCCTTCTTGCTTTTAATTTTAAACCACGATTTTAACTTCTGGTCTCCATCTCTAATAAAGAAACCACTCTAAAGTGTTAGAGATATTGCACAGGAAGGAGCAAATGATCTACTGTGCCTTAGCCAGGTCTTTGCCAGAACATTTTAAAGAAATTTTACTGCCCTGCTCTCTTGACATACTGCTACCATTTCCCTCTGCTTCAAATTTGTACATTTACTGAATATTTGGTTGCAAGTTGCTAGCAATAAAACATATTTAAATAGAAGAATGCACGATAACTATAAGTTTCCCTTTTATTCAGCTATTCACAATATATATTAATGATTTGTACAAGGGAACAAAATGGCATCATCTGCAAACTTTGCAGATGACACCAAGTTGGGTGGGAGGGTGAACTGTGACAAGGACGCAGAGATCCTTCAGCATGATTTGGACAGGTTGGGTGAGTGGGTAAATCAATGGTAGATGCAGTTTAATTTAGATAGATGAGAGGTTATTCACTTTGGAAGCAAAAACAAGGTGGCAGATTACTACGCTGAAGGTAAGCATGCATGTGCAGCAGGCGGTAAAGAAAGCAAATGGTATGTTGGCCTTCATTGTGAGAGGTTTCGAGTAGAGGAACAGGGATATATTGTTGCAGTTATACAGGGCCTTGGTGAGGCCACACCTAGAATACTGTTGCAGTTTTGGTCTCCTTTTCTGAGGAAGGATGCTCTTGCTCTTGAGGGAGTGCAGCGAAAGTTTACCAGGCTGATTCCAGGGATGGTGGGACTGACGTATGAGGAGAGGTTGAAGAGGTTAGAATTGTTTTCATTGGAGCTCAGACGAAATGAGACGACTTATAAAATTCTAACAGGACTAGACAAAGTAGATGCAGGGTGCGTCCAGAACTGGGGTGACGGTCTGAGGATTCGGGGTAGATCATTTAGGACAGAAACAAGGAGACATTTCTTCGCCCAAAGAGTGGTGAGCCTGTGGAATTCATTACTACAGGAAGTAGTTGATGCCAAAACATTGACTGTATTCAGGAGGTGGCTAGATATAGCACTTGGGGTGAATGGGATCAAAGGTTCTGGGGAGAAAGCAGGATTAGGCTACTGAGTTGGACGATCAGCCATGATCATGATGAATGGCGGACCAGGCTCAATGGGCCTAATGGCCCCTTCCTGCTCCTATCTTCTATGTTTCTATGTTTTAATTGCACAATATTTCAGAGAGTACAGCCACATTTTAAAAAATGACTTGTAATTATGACAGAAAGCAAGTTGAAATTGAGTATTATCATAATTCTCAGACAAGGTAGATCACAATAAGATAGGAACCTCGTTATAGTGAACCTTGTCATGATTAGGATGATGCTAACTATTTCAAAGAATTTTCTTGTTTGAAGCACACACTACAGCATGTAGCCAAACATTCTGCACACAACACAAATAGCTGTGAAATAAACAGAAAACAAACTAATATAACTAAGAACAGCAACAAAGCAGAATGCAAGCTCATGGAACAACTTATTCTCCATTGGGACGTTACAGCCTCAAGGTCTCAATGTTCAATTCAATAACTTCAGAAACTGACCATTTTGTTTGTTTTCCATTTCTCTCACATTCCCTCCCTACGTGAATTCAAGTCTGAGAGTGAGATATTAAATCCAACAAATACTACTTTCTACCATTAAGTTCAGTTCAATACTTGCTTGTTTACAAATTTGTCAAATGCATTTTTTAAAAAGTTCATTTATGGGAGGAGGGTGTCGCTGGCTAGGCCAGCATTAATTGCCCATCCCTAAATCCTCAGAGGGCAGGTAAGAGTCAATCACATTCTATGGGTCTGGAGTTACGTGTAGTCAGACCAGGTAAGGATGGCAGTTTCCTTCCCTGAAGGACATGCGTGATCAAAATGGGTTTTTCTGACAATCGACAATGGATTCACAGTAATCATTAGACCTCTTAATTCCAGACTTAAAAAAAAAAAAATTCAAATTCCACCATCTGCCATGGCAGGATTTGAACCTGGGTCCCCAGAACATCTGTCCCATTAAAAATTAGGGAAAACAACAAGACTAATATTCAGGAGAAAATCTGCATTGCAGAATCTGACAAAGATAACTTTTGTTATTCAATCCAACACAAACTGGTTCAGATCAAAGATTATTGTAACAATGAAGAAGCATTATTTACTGAAACGGAGTTTCAAATGATTAATTTAAATAAAACTTCTCACTATTGTTTTCCAAAGTTCAAAAGAAATTCACAAATCTGCCTTCTTCCTTCATATCTACATGATTTGAGGTCTAGGAAGATGTATAGCTATTCTGTTGTGATAGCAGCTGGACATGCAATTGCACTTCCAGGTCCTTTAAGAATAACAAACAGCATCCAATGCAGCTCAGTTCTATAACTTCACAGGGCAGCACAGGTCAAGGTGAGTTCAGGGTTAGTTCTGTTGTTTGTCATCATGCTCAGTTAATGGAATACTAACAGCTTGAAACAATGGCCACGTGTTCATTAAGACAGACAAACTGCTGAATTTGAAACAGATGGCTGATGATAAACGTCAGGTACAAGGAACAACTCTTCAGAATATTTTGAGCCGCAGAAGTGGATAAAACTGAACACAGCCACAGCTCGGGAAGATTTCCATCACCTGTGAAGCAAGTTATCAAAGTTAACTTTTGTCTGTGCAATACAAAGGAGGGTTGGAAAAACATTCCATCCACCTCCAGTGTAAAGTGCTGGTTATGAGCAGTAAGCACTGCGTAATCAGTAAAACTCTCAAACAGATGCTTCATTATAACACCATTTGGCTGGATCATTTTACAAATGATCTACAGATCATTTATGTAGATCCCTGGCAACAACCAACATGTTATATGCAGCACAGGTGGGTTCCTTCATGTATTCCAAAGCAACAAATGAAAGGCAGGCTTAAGACAAATGTTAGTAAGTTCTGTAGATTTAAAAAAAACATTGTGGATCAACAGCTGCAACAGGCTGCCATGAAGGGCTGTTGAGGAACATATGCTGGATTCTACAGTGAGAAGGCAACGAGATTAATATTCAGGAAAAAATGGACTGAAGTACCTTTCTTGCAAGAATTGATCTTCTGATCATAAAGCTTTTATTTTAACAGGTTTTTAAGCTTCCATCCACTGCAACAACAATGCTCCATTTTTAAGTTTTCATCTGAAGCTCCAGACTGAAGGACAATCTACATCTCTGATAGTGGGTCATACTCTGTCAACAGTGAAATTTTCAGTCCAACAGATTTTTTAAAAAATCCTTTTATAAGGTTTCCATTTTTGCACGTTTCTAAACCTTGAATATCGTATAACAGTTTACCAATGTGAAAAATTTAAAAAACTAAGTTAAAATAAGAAACAATTATGTCAGCATATCTGTTATGTAAAGTTGACACAATCCATGTTAATCACAGCAACCCCACTTCTACAAGAATAGTTTCCTCTCTTACTTCCCAAGAAGCAACAACAGAAATGTGTGTAACCTTTAAGTCTAAACACCAAGGAGGCTAAAGGCACAGATTTGTGACCTAAAGGATACAAAAAGGAAGCTGCTAGTAATTCTGGTTCAAACTTTTATTTCTACTTTACACAAACGTTATGAAATGTACACATCATCGCTCTTCCTGAATTTGAGGGAACTACAATTCTATGTTTCCACATGGGAGTTAAATAATATTTTACAATTACAACAGCACAGTAAAAAGATTGGCAATATCCTTATAATATGCTTGATGTTAGTCGAATACATACCTCAAGAGGAGACTTCATTGAGACAGGATTTCAGCTTAATCTCTCAGGCAACAGTGGGGCAATGCATTAACAGTGCAGGGGTATGCGGAGAAAGCGAGAATATGGCATTGTGACAGAGGAACAGCCACAATCCTAAAGAATAGTGGAGCAGGCTTAAGGTGCCAAATAGCATACTCCTGCTCCTAGCTTCTATGTAATAAGAACATTTGAGACTTCTAGTTGATACTGGACAGCCAAAAAAACTGGCTTTCACTTAGGAAATGAACATTGAGAGGAAGAATGAGCCTAGCCCTTATAGTGCAGAATGACTTAGAAGTAAGGAGGATATTTTAGTCAGATGCGGGTAAAGAATGATGAGACCAAGCACAAGTGCTAATATTAGAAATTGGCTCCTTTTGCTCTCCAAAAACCAAGCAAATTTACAATTGCCTCAAAGAGAGATCTGTAATTCTGTGGTGAAATAAAAAGCTGGTTAATCAATTTTCATTGTCAGTTGAAGGTAAACATCGACTAAAACATCAGGAGAATGCACATCCTTCTTTGGAGAGTGCACCTGAATGGACAGGCAAGACCTAGCTGTATTGACGCAACCCAAAGATTGCACTCTCCCAGTGTAACATTTGCTCAGTTCTACGCTGAAGCATCGGCCAAAAGGTGCGGGTGTTCAAGTCCTGGAGTGGGAGTTCATTTCTCAGTCTCATAACCCAGAAGGGGAGAGAGCTGCCAATGCACAAAGCTGACACTCAATTGACAAAACAAAACATAATAAAGAAATGAGAGCACAAAATGGCATTGTAAGAACAAGAATCATGCAATGTGAACGAACACTCTATGGAACAATGGTTGTAGAGAGAAAGTAGCAGGTCACAAAAGAATGGTAAAGTTGTGGGAACAGGTAACTAGCTGGGCATTAGATTTAGTACCAAAGAGTACTTTCATTGAATTTTGAGAAAATTACACTGGATCACTGGAGTAGATTGCAAGTGGGATTGATAGACGAGATAGCTTTTCTCAATACACATAAGGGTTGGGAGACTGAAGCACACTACTTTTATATATAAATTTACACAGAATATTGTCATACTATTTACTTCAAAGACACATTACCTCTCCTGCCTTACCTGCTGTGCGTAGCCACGAAACATTGGATTAATCAACTTAATGCCATGGGCAAGGCTTGTTGGAACAACATAGCTGGGACTGCACAAGAAAGAAAAGTTATTAATTACAGTGAAAGCAATACCAGTCAGTCAATCTTACTTGATACAATCAAGTCTCTTCCTACCCTATACATTTACTTCTATCTGATACATTGTTCAGTCTCTTCTGTTTTTTTCTCTTTGGTTCTTACAATAAATGTGGAACTAAATATTGAGATTTACCCCTTAAACCAGATGTCTTCTCTTCACCCTCCTGCTACTTGAGTGCTTAGCTGGATTCTTCTTTGTCGATGAGAGGACTCATGATACAAAGTGCAGTGCACAAAGATAAATAGTGACCATACAAATCCAAATTCTGTGGATTATTAGCATCTGTACCAACACCCAAAGTAAACACACCATTTCCACTGGGTTGAATATTTCCTACAGCACTAAAATTCTTCAAGCCAACAAAAACATTTGCAAAGAAAATAAACAACTTACAGATACACAGTCACCACATTTTGTGTCTCTACTTATTAGGAGGGTCAAGTGCAGAAAACTGAACACTTGCCTTTGGTCATTCTAGCTCAGGAACTGCATTAAGTTAGGATAGGTACAGCACAAGTCTAAATAAAATGTCCCTACACTGTTCCAACAATGGTTAACTGCAGAAGAAAAGCACAGTTTAATTAGAGATTCTCACACAGATGATCTCCCTGAACAGAGTGTTGGCTCAGTTCTAATTAAAACTGGGTTACAGACATGTGTTGAAGACGTATGTCGACTGAAGCTGGTTTAGTACCATTCAAGTGCATTTCACTAAGTAATGTTGCCGGTCAAAATAGATTCTATTTTAGATTTGAATATAAATTCAAGAGCTATAAGAACAATTTAAAAGAAGAACTTCACTATCAGGCAGAAAAGAAAGAACAGAGGGTTGCTTGTATCACTTAGGCTAGAAGTTGATTAGGCAAATTGGCAGAACTTCACAGCAGTGGCTTTTAACAATATCCAGTTGCAAATTGACAGAAATTCACAGTAGCAGTTTGTAACAATATCCAAAACTCTCAAGTATATTGCGTTATTCTAACATATTCTGAAATTCTCAACAAGACTTTAAAAATAGATTGGTCGGAATGCGCCAGCAAGCAACCTTCTCTGCTCAGTGTGCATCCACCGGTTGTCAAAACAACCAGGTGAGATCTACTTAACTGACGAATTGCTATTGCAATCTAAAGAGGAACAATTCCTCTTTTCAGTGCTGTACACTCATGCATATTTAGAGTGACAAACTGATTTAAAATACTGAATAGTCTCCATTCATTCAGATGACATTCAAGTTACAAAAGCTGTGCAAATGCACAAAAACACACTGAATTCAATGAACAGCGTTGGCTTACCTTTCTAATCTAAAAGCAACACTTCAGCATTGTAACCTTTGTACGAAAATAAATCTATCTTTGCTATGGTATGGTACATACCGTTTTTTGTGCCAAAGCTCAGAGATAAGTTTCTGGTAGCTTTTACAAAGAGCTGGTTTTTTGTCTGTACGAACCAAGCCTACACACTCCAAGAAGAATTGGGTGAGTGGTGGACTGCAACAGAAAAGAGGTTACACTTTAGAAAATGATGGACGGTAACTGATTTAACATCACACCAAGTGACATAAATTCAGTCCTACAATAATACAATACTGAATAAGCACAATCAGCTTTAAAATTCTCAAATTTCAGGTGCCAGGATGAGATGTATAGGGGCTTTATTAATATAACAAATTGCAGGTGAATGAGGGAAATAAGCCTAAAACCAAGTTACAAGTCTTCATCACAAAAGGTTTATTTGTCACATTTTAACTACACATCAAGTCAGTTAATGAATTAGATTTAAAAAGTGCAGGGGGTTGAATAAGCTAGATTCATCTGCCTGAATGTGCAGCTAAAGATGGTTTCAGGATTCATTTAGCACAGGCGAGAATATAGCACAGGGATCAATGAGGGCACAAAATTGTACAACTTCTTTTAAACTTATAGTCATAAATACTATTTTCCATAAAAGTGACAGTGTTGTTTTGTTTGAATTGTTTTTAGTTGCATCACAGAATATGATGCACTGTCTGAAATGGCAGCAAAAGCAGATTCAATTGCAGGATTGTACTGAAAGGGCAAGTGAGAGAGACTAACTGGAAAGAATTAGCACAGATTTGAAGAGCAGAATGGACTCCTTCAGCGCTGCATTGTTCTACATGACATGATTCTTATGGAAGACCCTGACTCAAAAATGTTGCTGCACTCAGGAAACCAATGAGAATGGAAAATGCATTTCCCATCAGACCATTCTCCCAGTCTCAGGAACCAGTAGTGGTTCCGGATGAAAATCCCATCAGAAATAGGTCATACATCAGTTCATTTTTCCAGTAAATTTAATACAAACAAGCTAGAGTCAGTAAACAATTTGCCCTACCAATTGGACAAAGCCTGTAGAGCAGCATTCATGTAGCAGGAGTTTCCGATGTTCTTCATGCCCGTGAGCCCTAGCAAATAAATTTGAGGAGAGAAAGTAACTTAAATGAACCGCCAGAAGTCAACTTTGGGGGTGCCAAGACAAAACATTTGTACACAAACTGGATGCACCTCCATACTGAATACTTTCTATTGAGGCCAAAAAATGATTTATAACATAGTATCTACTTTAATAATTTTTTTTGCTTCGCGGACATTTCGTCCAATCTGCAATCCTTTTACCTCTTGGTTTTAGCTCATCCTCCTCAGATTCTGATTCTCCCTCATCTGCAACAGCAATGGGAACAGTTTTGAATGGAATACTGCCAAGCGATAAGCCAGAGCCCTGATGATTAAAAACAAAATTGCACCTAGTTACTACAATGCTCTCTGACAGAAATATTAAACACCCAAGTACTAGCTTAAAAACGCTAGCTTGCATTGTTGTACACAGCTATTTTTATATTACCGATAGACTGAATACCAAGGCTCCAGCCAGGATGTCCAGCTACCCTGATCGATCCAGAGTGAAACTATGCCTCTAGGAAAGTTAGATGTTATTATTTGAGAGTATTTATGTGAAAATAAAATCTGATATTTCAAACAGCAGCACTAGTCTCGCCACTATTATTTAAACAGTCGTCCAAACCCTATGCCCTACCTGCTCTGTTGATCTGCTTGACAGTGCTGGGCTTGGTGCAATGGATCGTTGTTCCAGGAAAACTTCCTTCTCACAGGCATAACACCATACTCGGAATGTAGTCAGGTTCACAGTCAAGTTATGCTTCTTAGCCTGCAGCAGGAAAAAAATTAAATTGAGCTGACTGACAAGGTAATACAAGCGGTGGAATCTCAAGGAGGGGAGGGAGTTTGTGGAAACTGCCACAACTTTGCTTGAAAATAATATTTTACAAAAGCTCCAAAATAGTCTGCGTTCCCTCATCACTTTTGACAGTGTCATTGCACTGAAATCATACAGATTCCTCTGGCTCCCAAACTATCCCTCCAATCCTAAGTGTAAAGACTTGAAAGATCATTTCAGCTTCTCCCTTTTGTATACTATCACTTTCAGTTCTTTCTACTAAACCGAGGTTAACAAACAATTCGATACAGAGTTTCTACATTCCATATTTCTGCCTCCATCCCCCCAGGTGCATACATATCGGCATGCTTCCGTACCACATAACAGAAATTGTCAAAAAGAGAGCTTGCTGTTCTCTTGAAGAATGGACAGCATTTTGAAAGCGCACTCCAAAAATGGCATCACCAGTGAGCTTTTCTATCTTAGCTCCTTGTATTCCTTGAAAGTTATTTATTGCAGCTCATTTTTAGCTAGGTTTTTACTTTTATATCCTTTTTGCAGATTCTTTTTCCTCTTTTTGAATCACTGAAATCTCGGTGCTCGTAAGCATGTAGCAGACAAAACAAGAATGGCATTAATCAGACAACTTGGCAAAGATTCTGAATTCTATTTGAGAATTGAGTATTTAATATGATGATTGGAATACTTAACACCATGCCCCAAAATTAAGATTTAATAAACATATTCAAACTCCACTGAAGAGAATTCTTCCAATGACACTTTTGTATTAAAAAGTCACCATCTCTAATAACTAAAGTTTGCAATCATTAAGAAGTTTGAACCTCAGGAAGCAAAGACCTCTGATCAAGACACTGAAGACAACATCCCCTAATACTATTGAAAAGTAAGTTGCAAAGTAAAATAAAAAATGACTCATATGGCAAGACAGCTAACAGCTGCTTCCAGTCAAATCCAGTTCCAGGGCTATCTAACACTCAATTATCAGTAATACTGGGATCAAATGTTGAATGTTTTCGGTCAGATCATAAGAATGGTTGATATCAGGAGAGCATTAGGAACACCAAGAAAAGAAACAAAAAGGGAGCAAAAGGGAAAACGATTTTTCCACTCATTTCCAGCAATAAATATTTATCCGTCAATGGAACTAAAGCATCGATATGGTCATAATTTATGGAGATGTCTACAGCATAATCTTTCCCCTGCCTTCTCGCAAGGGAAAGAGGAAAAATGCAATTTTTTCCTCTTTATTAAGACCGTAATTACCTGCGAATGCAATGTGCTGTGGTCAACATATGACTCTCCACATCCTATGTAGGAGCAGCCATTCTGTTTGAGAAGGAAAAACACAGAAATAAGCAAGCAATACATTACTTTATAGAAACACAAATAAAATGGCTTGAAATACAATCAGAAAATGAAAATATTAATGCTTTAATAAGATGTCTGAAATCAGGGTTATACCTGCTTTGGTCTCCAAAAGGCATTTTTCCCTCAGCAACCAACTTACATTTTTAAAATTCTTGAATCCCCAGTAATACTTTCTCGACTTCATTATATGCACTGAACTAACAAACTGGGAGAATAACTGGTTCACAAATTTCTACCATCATTCTTCCTGTGGCAGTCATAGGCATATTTTAGGGCTTCAAACTGGTCTGGTGAATATATACACCCCTGTTGTTGGGATCAGTACCAATGCACTTGGTCCTTTTTCTCCAGAGAGAGAGAAAATAGCTGAATATGTATTTACCCACCATTTCACACAAAACAGATTACCAAATGCTTTACACACAGGCCTTTTATAGGAAGCCAGCTTCCCTGGCCTTAAACCAATGCAATATTAACTTCAGCGTACAAATGCTCAATATACACTTGTGTGAAAATGTGAAGGATGAAACAAGACTACAGCAGGACTTTGATCAAATGGTCCAACAGGCTAAGGAGTGGCAGATGGGGAATAATTTAGATTAATGTGAGATGTTGCATTTTGGTGAGGCAACCAAGGCAGGACTTATACAGTCAACAGTAGGACCCTGGGGAGAGTTGTTGAATGAAGAGACCTAGGAATAATTCGCAGGTGCACAATTCTTTGAAATTGGAGTTGCAGGCAGACAGGATGGTGAAGGCAGCATTGGGCATGCTTGCCTTCATTGGTTAGTGCTTTGATATAGGAGTTGGGACATTAAATTACGGCTGTACCAGACACTGGCAAGGCCACTTCTAGTACACTGCGTTCAATTCTGGTATCCCTGCTATAGGAAGAATATTGTTAAACTTGAAAGGGTGCAGAGAAGATTTGCAAACATATTGCCAGAGTTGGAGGGTTTGAGCTACAGGGAGAGGCTGAATAGGCTGGGATTTTTTTTTCCTTTGGAGCGGAGGCTGAGGGATGACCTTATAGTGGTGTATAAAATCAAGAGAGGCATGGATTGGCTGAAAGAGCCAAGGTCTTTCTCCCCAGGGTAGGGGAATCCAATAGAGGGCACAGATTTAAGGCGAGAGGGCAAAGATTTAAAAGGTTCACGACAGGCAACTTTTTAAACACAGACAGTGCTGTGTGTATGGAACAAGCTGCCAGAGGAGATAGCGGAGGTGGGTACAATTACAACATTTAAAAGGCATCTGGATGGGTACATGAATTGTAAGGGTTTAAGAGGGATATGGGCTAAATGCTGGCAAATGGGATGAGATTTGTTTAGGATATCCTGTTGGCGTGGATGAGTTGGACTGAACAATCTGTATCAGTACTGTATAACTCTAAGAAGTGAACGTATCACTGAAATCGAGAACAATTGCAGAAGTCCAAAGTGCAGGGGGCTTTAGATATTCTGGTGCATGAGCCAGAGAAAGTCAGTATGCAGCTATAGCATACAATAAAGATGAATGGAATGCTGTGATTAAAAGAGAAATTCAACATGTATGTACTAATGTTACGCTTCAATTATATGGGGCCACATCTCAATGCTACATGACATTTTGGCCTCCTTATTTAGGAAAGGAGGTAAATTCAATGGAGATGATTCAGAGAAAGTTTACTAGAGTGAAGTTATAACATCTTATGAAATTAGGTTGGCCAGGCTGGGTTCATTTCCACTTGAGTTTAGAGGACTGATTTGGTTGAATCTTGATGTCAAGATCCTGAATGGTCTTGACAGGCTGAATATGGAAGGGCCTATCCCTCTTGTGGGCCAGCCCAGACTAGTGTGCACCATTTCTAAAAAAAAACAGGGGTTGCCCTTTCAGGACAGAGATGTGGAGAAATTGCTTTCCCCTCACAGGGTTGCGCAATTTTGGAACACTACCTCAAAAGGCAATGGAGGTAGAGTCTTTGAATATAGGTAAAACAAGGCGTCAATGTTCTTGGTAGGCAGGAGAATTAAGAGGTACAGGGCAAAGTAGTAAATTACTGAACCATGGAGCAAGCTTGAAAGGCTATATGGTCTACTTCTGCTCCTATTAAATGCTTTATCTCTGCTACAATTCTGCATAAAATAATTTCCTATGAAAACATCAAGGACTTAAGTTAATATTCAAAAGTTTTAAACAAAAACAAAGTTGCTGGAAAAGCTCAGCAGGTCTGGCAGCATCTGTGAAGGAAAAAACAGAGTTAACGTTTCGGGTCCAGTGACTCTTCCTCAGAAATGACGGTGGCTGGGAAAACGTCAGTTTATATGCAGAAAATAGGGAGGTGGGTGGAGTAGGGAGTAAACGATAGGATAGAGCCCAAAGAGAGAGAGAGAGAAAGACAGTTGGACAGACAAAGGAGTTGCTAACAATCAGGCTGGGAGGGTGAATAGCTCTTAATGGGGGCTGTTAGTGAGTAACAACGTTGTGTAATGGCAGGCTATGTGGTAACAAGGCCTGGTGTGTGGGGTAGGGGGCTGGGACATGGGAGTGTTTAGGCCCTAAAATTATTGAACTCAATATCGAGTCCGGAGGGCTGTAGGGTCTTCAAGTGGAAAATTAGGTGTTGGTCCTTCAGTTTGCGTTGGGCTTTGCTGGAACACCGCAGCAAGCCAGAGACAGAGATGCTGGCCAGGAGCAGGGTGGTGCGTTAAGGTGGCAGGCAACAGGTAGTTCAGGGTCTTTTTTGCGAGCAGAACGTAGATGCTCTGCAAAGCGGTCGCCAAGTCTACACCTTGTTTCCCCAGTGTAGAGGAGACCACACTGTGAGCAGTGAATGCAGTAGACTAGATTCTGGTAAGTACAGGTGAAGTGTTGCTTCACCTGGAAGGTATGTTTGCGCCCTTGGATACTGAGGAGGGAGGAGGTAAATGGGCAGGTGTTGCTCCTTTGCCAGTTACAGGGGAAGGTGCCGTCGGGCTGTGGGGAGGTGTTGGGGGTGAAGGAAGTGTGGACCAGGATGTCCCGGAGGGAACAGTCCCTGCGGAAGGCGGACAAGGGAGGGGAGGGGAATGTGTGTCTGGTGATGGCATCTCGCTGAAGGTGGCAGAAATGGCGTCTGATGATCTTCTGGATATGGATGCTGGTGGGATGGTAGGTGAGGATAAGGGGAACCCTATCGCTGTTGTGGGACGGAAGAGAAGGGGTGAGAGCGGAAGTGTGGGAGATGGGTCAGATCTGGTTGAGAGCCCTGTCAACAACGGAGCTGGGGAATCCCCGGTTGAGGAAGGGGTGGGCATTTCGGAGGCTCCCTTGTCAAAGTTGACCTCATCCGAACATATGCAACGGAGATGGAAGAACTGAGAGAATAGGATGGAGTCTTTACAGGAAGTGGGGTGTGAGGATGTATAGTCCAGATAGCTGTGGGAATCAGTGGGTTTGTAGTGGATAATGAAATTCCCAGCGACCATCAGTTCTGAGGAAGGGTCTCTGGACCCGAAATGTTAACTGTTTTTTCCTTCACAGATGCTGCTTGACCTGCTGAGCTTTTCCAGCAACTTTGTTTTTGTTCCTGATTTACAGCATCTGCAGTTCTTTCAGTTTTTATTCAAAAGTTTTAATTTCAAGCTCTGGCAGCAAAAGAACACATACCCCGTTTAGGAATAAACAGCAACGCTTAGACTTATACTAGGATACAACGTCTGAACAAAGACTATAGTTAACTTGGGACAAAGACATTGTCATCTATTTAGTCAATTATTTTTATATTAAAGGTACTTCTACAAGCACAGAAATAATGGTCGTAGTAGAAACTACACCTTACCTGAAGGCAAGCCCATAGATTTGGTCCACCAACACCACATGACTGACATGTACCCTGAAAGAAAAACATGATGCAATTAAGTGTAAAACCTGCACAAGCTATGAACAGAACTTGGAAGAATTGCTGAGACAGCAAAGACAGTGAAGTGCCATACCGATAACAGATTTTACATCCAATACTCAGAACAGCTTGAATTACCCCTAATGACTGAGCCCTGATGGACACATCTGCAATAGTGGGAATATAGTGAGAAAGGAAAAACTAAGTAGATCTTGCACTCAATCTACCTATCCACAAGTGCTCTGTCCTTAGCTACTGGTAACAGTGACCACCACATAGTTGATGCGAAGTTAAAATTCCCATCTTCACATTTAGAACTCTCTAATACTAATCTCCTATCCCAATACATAGAGTTGTAAATAATGGTGAAAAATTTAAAAAAACTAGCTGGAGATGAGAGGTCTAGAAATCAGTCTGTGCCTGTACCGAGTATGACCTGGGGTTTGTGCCACACAAATGCCAAGCAATCATGTCCATCAAGAGAACATCTAACCACTCTCAGCTTTCTAGCCTTCTGGGCTCAACTCAAACTGAACAATTTTAGATTGTAATTTCCATTCCCACTTTGCTTGGTTTTCTTTGCTGTTTTGATCTTTTCCTCGCTGTTTTGATCTTTTCCTCTTACAGAGCAGGGAGAGACAGAATTCCAGCTTTTGTTGTCACAAATTCATTTCTCCTCTTCTGTTCTAAGTCAGCAGTCAAATATAATTCAGTGGGTATTTTGAAGACTAGCTTCATTGTCTTTCCAAGACCTGCTAACTGACAGGTGGGCCTTTCGTCTCCCAACGTACGAAACTATCATGCACGTAAATTAAACAGGAGATGGGAGTTTCTTGGCATAGACACAGTTGACTGGTTTTGAGGTCTTTAGTTATTTCAGTGTACGGGTAGGATGTCAAATTCAAAAAGGAGGCAACTACCAGGATTACATGTGTCAGCGGATCAGCTTTACATACTCTGTTTTTTACTGCAACACCACCACTCATCTATCAAGCTGGATAGAAAACTGGACATCTGGTTGACTTAGCTGTGGAATGCAACGCAAACCCTAAAGCACCAGCAGTTCAGAAGCTTGATTGCTCTGTCATAAGACAAGATAATGGCTTACCATATGAAATGTTAAAACAAACTTATACATTTTGGTGGCTACCAGATGGAGAAGAGAAACATGGTACGAGTTGCTGTAGGAGCAATTTCTGCTGATTGCATGATCTTAAGTGACAAGTATTTATTACAGATTCACAAAACCATTCAAGATCCAATTTTGACAAATTCTCAGTGTGGTATTGTAACTTGATAAAGTAGCACTTATTTTTAACAATCGCCAATCAGCTGCTGTTCTGCAAAAGACCAGATCTTAATTTTCAGAAGTATCTAGTCCTTTGGGCCTGTATTACTGGGCACACGTGAACCGAAGTAAGTTGATGCGCTAAGCAGCAGTAGAAGGAACCAGAATCAGTGTTTGTTCAATTATTTTCTCAGCTGCCTGCAAAAAAATTGTTCGACTCCAAACAAAACTGCTGTTGATTGAAATGAAGGTGTGCGCTCACCTGCCCACCATTTTAGCAGCTCTGTATTAGGAATAAATTCTACATGATCTCCTTGTGTAAGCAGTTGCATCATTTTTAAGAATATAGCTAAATATGCAATTCTTAAACCAGTACCCTTCATTTAAATTCTGAAGTAAAATATTTGCGCATTACTAACTCATTTGAATGGCTCCTGTTGGGTAAACTATCTGAAGCTTGCTTTTGGCAGACATGCCCCTTTACAGTGCAACACAAAAGGTCAAAATCTGCTTCAAAGTTAGATGTCATCTGTCTCAGACGGATTAACATGCTATCAATAGAACATGACATATGCAAAAAAGTCAATTTGAATAAAATTATCTTGCAAATAATATGACAGTATCCACCTTCCAGGTGGCCCCAGAGATCTGAACTGAGGTCTCAGCTTTTCATGATATATAAAAATATGTAATATATACAGGTACAAAACATAACCACATTCAAACATATAAATATGTTAACTTTCATAATAAGTCAAATGGATGGCAGAAGGAAGTAGTAAAAAGACACAGCAAACGAGTAAAACCATGGCCGATGGAACTCAACCTGGAGGAAGTGCATGGTTATTTATTCTGGATCAGAGTGTGAATCTTCACACAGAGACCATGAGCTGTGCTGATATAAAGGGATTTAAATAGGTTTGTTCACAAATCAGGAAATATAGCGCATAAATACAAAAAGTAAACAAAAAGGCAAATGGAACATTAAAGATTAGTTAAGTCACCAAAGCAGTTAAAACAGTGGATAGATACACAAGACAAATTATTTGGAGAAATTCAGAACAAGGGGGTTTAACCTTAAAATTACAGCTCGAGCATTTCACAGCAAAATCAGGAAGCATACTTACACTCCCAGTTTGGCGAAATTCACAATACACTTCCACAAAAATGTGTGGGTACTTGAACAACTCCAATACATTTTTTTGTTGGTCAAGGGTAGCAAGGGATAAGGAACAAAGGTGCATAAATTAGCTAAAAATCAGGCATTTTCTGATGGCATACTATGCAGGGTCATTAAATGTAAATAATTCAAATTCTGGTTATTAATCACTAAATCGGTGTCCTTGATATTTTGTCCCGTGTGCCGTATGCACCCTATTTTTATAAAGTAACGAAATCCTCTGGCATCGTCTCAACTGTTCTGGTTCATTTCATCCTTCGCGTCATTCAGCATTTTAACAAAAACATACATTATCTTCCTTTCATTGGTGAAAGATCACAAGCTTTAACAATTTTAATACCTCCATTCTATCCTGGAGTATGATCCAGAGTTTCCAGTGATCTTGTCATTTTAATTCCCCACCTTGCTCACACTAACCTTTATGTCCTTGGCCTGCACTGTTCCAATGAATTTTAATACAAGTTTGATGAGCAGCACTTTGTCTAGCAACTGAACTTTTCAGCCTTCTGGGTTCAACACAAACCAAACAATTTTAGATGATAATTTCCAATCCCACTTTGCTTGGTTTTTCTTTACTGTTTTGCTGTCTTCCTCTTGTTTCTCTTACATTTCCTTGACTGTTTTCAGATGGCAGCAATTCAGGACTTGGCAGTCCTGCCTCCTCTAGACATCTTTTGTTTTTTTTAAAGCTCATCCCATTATCACTTGCAGGCCTTGCACCATGAAACCTTTGGTCATTTCACCTCTCCTGTCCTCTTACAATATCGCAGCTCTCTAGTTCTCCATCCCACAGTCCAAAATCTAAACCATCTCTAACTTTTCCCTCATTTTAATGGAAAGGTCACAGACCTGAAACATTAAAAAGCTGACTCATTCAACACAGGTTGCCTGACTTGTAACATGTTACCAGCATCTTCTGCTCTTATTTCAGCTAACCAACTTCTGGAATATTTTGCCTTTGTCACTTTACATTTATCAATGGGATAAGTGAAGTCTTAACTATGTCCATTAACAGAAGTTTCCAATAGGGCAGTTCACCTTATATTGCCTGCATTTCTCATATTTGTAGACCCCACATGAAGTTGTTAATGATATGCCAGAGGATTTTGTTACTTTATAAAAATGGGGTGCATACAGCACATGGGACAAAATATCAAGGATACCGATTTAGTGATTAATAACCAGAATTTGAATTATTTAAATATAGATGAGAATATCATGGTGCTCTGGAAATCAAATTTGCTAATTTATGTATTTCTTATACAGTGCATTTTTATTTTATTCCTGTTGTTCATTGGATGTGAATTGGAGAGTTTTAGACCAGATAGGTTAGTTTAACATCTTATCCACAAGATATCAATTTGATAGAAAGGAATGAAACCGGATGGCCCACTTAGTCTCAACAATGGCAAAGAGAGTCAGTTGACGCTGCAAAGCCTTCCTTACCAACATTTAGGGTTCTTCTAAAATTGGGACGGCTGCCACATAGATAGATTCAGCAAACACCTTGTCTTAGACAGCATCTTCCAAATCCATGACCCCTACTGCTTAGAAGTACAAAGACAGCAGATATGTGGAAGCACCACACCCCAGCAAGGTCCCTGCCAAGCCACACACAATCTTGACTTGTAAATCTATTGCAGCTCCTTCAGTGTCGCTGGGCCAAAATACTGGAGATCCCTCCATAAAATAAGCACTGTGGGTGCACCTACTTACTATGGACTTGAGAGGTTCTGGTGGGGACTCACCACAAGTTTCTCCAGGGCAGTTAGGGATGGGCAATGAAATGCTGGCCTAGCCAGTGATGTCCACATACCATGAACAACTTAAAAAAAGCAGCACTTGCTCAGCTCTGCAGTGACGTGTCAGCCAAGATAAGCACTTATTGTCTGGAGTGGATCTTAAATTCAAAGTCTCCTGAGACAGACAATAAAGTACTACACTAAGCCAAGAATGAGACAAGACAGGAACATCAATGGCCACACTATCTGTACTGTTATAACTAACATGGCAGCGCAAGTATTATTTAGTTCCAGCAATGACTATAAAATGCTTCAACAGCATTTCGGACTTTCTATACTGTACTTCATAGGCATTTACCCAATAGTAGCACTCTTTTTACCTTTGATTTCTGTAACAGCTCCTCTTTAGTGATTTCTCCTACTGAATCCAGATGAGGGCAGATATCAGTAGTATTAGACATCTTCCCAAACTTCAGCACTGTAATAAAAATTACAGCTATTAAATTCAAACAGACTGCCCCATTATTGCTACTAGGCACAGAAGTAAATTAATCTGTCTCCAACTTCAACAAAAGCAAAATACCATGGATGTTGGCGATATGAAATAAAAACAATATGCTGGAGAAACTCAACAGGTCTGGCAACATTTGTGGACAGTTGACATTTTGTATCCAATTGTTCCAAAGAAGAGTCATAGTGGAACTGAAACATTAATTCTGTTTCTCTCTCCAGATTCTGCCAGACCAGCTCAAGTTCTCCAGCACATTTTGCCTTTAACATCAGCTAGCTTATTCAACATAATACTATATAAAAAAGTATAATAGTTAGACAAAATGTTTGGAATACAAAGTACATCCTGATAGTCAGACAGCACAGAAACTGACCTTTTGGTCCAACTTGTCCATGGGTCCCTTTTAAATCTTTGTCCTCTCACCTTAAAATTATACCCTCTAGTTTTGAATTCCCCTACCCTAGGGAAAAGGCCTTTGCTATTCACCTTATCAATGCCCCTCATGATTTTAAAAGCCTCTACAAGGTCACCTCCCAACCTCCTGTGGTTCAGCGAAAAAAATCCCAGCCTTCTAACTCAACCTCTCCAATCCTGGTAACATCCTTAACTCAAAACAAAAAATGTCCTGTTAGTCCTCCGCTGGAATCTCTAATTTCCCAGAATCCATGTAGCAGGTGTGACACCAACTCTATATTGTGATGTCTTACAAACCAAAAGTCTGTAAATTGCAATGATATTGCCATTTAAATTGCAAGTAGATTGAAAATATTTCCACCTGTAAGGCAACCACAAAGTACAACATTACACAGCAAGAATCCTGAATAACAAAAATTAGAATGAGGTGAAACAGGCTGCTTATCTTAGAAGGTTCTGAAGAAGGGTCACTGGACCCGAAAAATTAACTCCGATTTCTCTCTGGAAATGCTGTCAGACCTGCTGAGCTTTTCCAGCAATTTGTTTTTGTTTCTGATTTCCAGCATCCACAGTTATTTCAGTTTTTAATTTTGCTTATCAAAAACTGTTGTGTTATATCTTGCTTCAGAATACAACATCTCTGATAATGAGTGTTGTATTATATGATAATGATTAGAAAGGTAGTTTCTTTTCTCCACTCAATCACCCACCCCAATTCTTTTTTGGATTACAATTCCTTGCTTGACTCACAGTTCAGACGACATTTATTGATGTGTAAATCTTGACACTCAGCAAATCCCAATTACTTAACCTTTGCGGAATTACAAGCAAATTCAGTTGTTCCCATTGTGTAGTCATTATGACTTTCTTTTTAATTAATTCATGGGATAAGAGTATCACTGGTGAGACTAGCATCTATAGCTCAACTCCAACTGGTCTTGAATCAATGCAGTCCATGTGATGCAGGCACCCTCCAGTGCTGTGAAGGAGGTCACTGGCTTGAAACGTGCCAAAGGAGATGGTGAAGTGCTGCAGTGCATCTTATGGATGGTAGCCACTGCTGCCAATGTATCAGTTGCCGATGGGGTATCGAACAAGTGAACTTCAACGTCATTAGTGGGTTAAATGCCTTGAACGTCATTGAGGCTGCACTCATTCAGACAAGTGGAAATTATTTCATTACAATTTTGGCTTGTGACTTTCAGATGGTGGTCAGGCACTGGGGAGTTAGTTGCTACAAATTTCCCAGCTTCTAATCTGCTCTTACAGTCACAGTATCTAGATGGTTGATCCAATTTAGTTTTGGTCAATGCCAGCCTCAGGATTTTGGTAGAGGGATTCAGTGATGATAATGCCGTTGAACATCAAGGAGGGATGTTTAGATGCTATCTGCTTGAGATTGGTCGTCGTCTGGGACTTAAACAGCAACAATGTCACTTATTACCCCATGCCTGGATGTTGTCCAAATCTTGCCACAAATAGGTACAGGCTTGTAGGAGCAAATTACTGTAGATGCTGGAATCTGTACTGAAAACAGAAAGTGCTGGAAATCACAGTGGATCAGTTCAAAATTCACATCAGCTCTGATGCACAGTCATCTAGGCTCAAAATGTTAGATACAGGCTTCTTCAGTATCTGAAGACATTACACAACCCATGAGCAAACATCCTCACTTCTTGATGGAGGGAAGGTCATTGATGAAGTGGTTGAAAATTATTTGGTCTGGAACACCACTAATGCTAAACATGAAGCAATTCTCTTCAAGCCAGATAAAAGTTAAAACCTGCACAAACCCAGCCTAGGCTGCCATTGGGCTCAGGGAGGGACCAACGGTTCTGACTGTCAGCAGCTTCTCCGTCTCAAGATCAAATCTGCTACACAGATAGCTGAACCGGCTGTGCATTTTATTTTTAATATCAAATAAGTAAAATGCTAGAAAATACAATGCAGCTCAGTTCGTGTTGGTGGAAGGAGCAAAGCAAAAATCAATTTTTTTCCTCTTGCCAAAAATACTGCTTGAGCTGCTTATTTCCAGCACTTCCTTTCAGATCTGACATTTCCAGCAGTCAGTGTACATTGCCTTTGATACTTCAGGCTTCAATAACAAAACACCTGAACATTCAGATGAAAATACAGATTAAAAAGTAGGTGATAACGAATTGGGCTGATGAAGAGGCACAGACAGACATACCGACCACCACCCCCCGATTCTGAAGCAAATCCTCTTTCTCACGCTCAGACTCACAACTGCAATTCCGCCCAATTATGAAACTTATTCCACAAACGCCTGGCCGAGACTCAAAGCACATCTCCCCCAAACACAAACACGCCCCACAAGACACCCCCACCCCCTCCCCCTCCAAAGACCCAAACGGGACCACTCCCCGCTTCGAAGACACAAACGGAACCCCTTACCCAAGATTCAAAATTGTCCCCATCCCCTGCCACCCTCCCTCATTCTGTAACCCCCAGACAGATTGCCTAAGCCAGCCGCGCCCCCTCCCCATTCAGCGCCGACACCTCAAAGCGACACAAAAGCGCCGTTGCGTACATTTGCACCGAGTTTCAAAATGAGCAGCCGGGTGCGCGTCTGGAAGCAGATGGAAGACACGGGGCGTACCTGCACCTCCACTGTCCTGGTGCGGTCCCCCTTCTTCTCCCGACCCCCCCATGGTATTCCCCACCCTATGTCTCACGAGATATTTTCCTTCAACAGAAAAGCGGTGACACCGTCTCCATCTTGGGCAGCTCCAGCGCCGCGCAGTGCACTCTGGGGAATGTAGTTCCCGACGGGTGACCCGGATGGAAGACGGCCTCAAGCTCCATAGGCCGCCGCTGAGCCTTCTGGGAGATGTAGTTCATACCGACGTGACGGCCGGCTTTCCCGGATGACGTGCAGTTGCTGTGACGTCATTTGGGACACACCTCCGAGCGGTCGGATAGTGCGCATGTACTATGTGGTCCCGACCTGGAATGATCGAGCGCGCAGGGCCAGGCTATTCAGCCCGAAAAGTTTATGCTAGCAAAACAATCAGCTTCTTATTTTCGTTAAAACAAAACCCTGTTCTGAAGAAGGGTTTCGGAGATAGTAGGAACTGCAGATGCTGGAGAATCTGAGATAACAAGGTGTAGAGCTGGATGAACACAGCAGGCCAAGCAGCATCACAGGAGCAGGAAGGCTGACGTTTTGGGCCTAGACCCTTCTTCTGAAGAAGGGTAACAGGTCCTGAGAGCTAACTCTACTTTCTCTCTACAGATGCTGCTAGACCTGCCAATTTTCTCAAGAACTTTCCATTTTTCATTATTTTCCACCTTTATTCTTTCTTAGCAGGTAAATGTCACTGGCATACATCATGCATTCTGAAACACGCATTTATTACCATTCCCAATTGTGCTTGCTCTAATGGCTTGCGAAGCCATTTTCATAAATGTCTTCACCCAGAAGCTTTGGAATGTGATATCACAAAAACCAGTTAAGGCCAAAACATTATACGATTTCAAGAAGGTGTTGGATATAGGACTTGGGGAAAAAGGATCAAAGGGTATGGGGAGAAAGTGAAAACAGATTATTGAGTTGGATGATCAGCCATGATTGTAATGATTGGCAGAGTAGCCCTGAGGGATCAAAAGACCTGCCACTGCATCTATTTTCTATTTTTCTATGTAAAGTAGATCCTTAACAATAAAAAGGATTTATCGCAGCAAATCTGCACAATGCAACTCAAATGGTATCAGTGCACGTTGCCATAATACATACCAGTTTCTAGTGCTCAGTCTCGCTTCCCATTTTGCTTCTGAATATTTCTTTCAAATGCAGAAAATAGGGTACTGCCATTTAAAACAGCCTTTGTGATCCATCTGCATGTGTCCACTTGCACCCGTGAGATACTATTGGTGAAACCATCCAGCAGTGTAAAGGCTATGTGCGTGTTCAAAAAATATTTTAAACGATTGCAAACCACATCTAATCTTTGCTGTTTTGTTGTACGTTAAGGCAATTATTGATGAAAAGCTGAAGAGGCTTCTGCCATAAAATTAAAAGGAAAATGCTGAGATTGGGTACATGTAAAACCAAAAGTCAGCTCTTAAAGGAGATCAGAGTTGGGTAAATGAAAACAAAGTACAATGGTTCTCTTAAAACAGAGAAGATCCATACAATATAAAATTCCAAATTCCAGTATGCTGAAGATTATTCAGGCTGTCCTCCCAAATGTAATTTCTTTAGGTCTTACTTATAAAACAGGCATGTCATTGGATGAGAGTTAAAACCAAGACTCCAAATTTAGTGCTCCACCTACTGGTGGCATTGGCCACATTTGTAGCCCTATAATACCTACGGTTAACATCTATACTGCTCCAAACCAAAACACCAGTTTAGACCTGTGACTCTTCTTCACAACCTGACTATTCACTTTGTCCTTTGTTCTGTGGTACTTTGCCCTGATCCAGGGCCGAGAGACAGGAATCACAACACCCGGTGCTGCTCCTGGGAACCTGGCTCCCAACCTGATCACAAAAAATCCCACTTCCTGACCCAAGCACAGTTGGCCTCTTAAAGCATCAGTCTCCGTTATTGGGCTCTGGTGTACACCCTTGTTCCAAGATGCCCTGACCTTCCCTTCTGTTCCATTCCCTCTTTTACTACACTACCAAACTCATCACTTTTCCAACAACTTTCAGTTCCAAACAAACTCGAAACATTAACTGTGTTTATTCCTGTCCACAGATGCTGCCAGACCTGCTGGGTTTCTCCAGCATGTTCTTATTTTATTTTATTTTCTCAATGTTTTTCAGCCACACTCTGTCCATCCTGGCTCTTTCAAAAAGACCTGCAGGGACTATGTGGGACGAGGACGAAAGAAAAGGTCTGTGATAGAGTTGCAACAGGGAGAAATTGAATGATGGAAAATTTAGTCCTGAGGACCAAAGTGAATGCGCTGAAAACCTATAAGGATCTGGATAACTATTTTTCCTATTTCTAATGAAAAGTCCAAGACCTCAAATCATTGATGGGAATGTGGGATGGGGGTTGCATCTTGACAGAGTAGATGTGGAAAAGATGTTTCTTCTTGTGGGAGAATCTAGGACTAGAGGTCAGTCATTGAAAAAAAGATAGAAAGAAATTTAGGTTTTTTTTATTGTCACATGTACTCAAGTACAGGAGTACAGTGAAAAGTGTCGACTGTCACCACACATGGCGCCATCCTAGTTACAAAGGTATCTAGGTACAAAGTAATAAAAGAGAGAAACAAAGTTAAAAGTTAAACATTACAGACCACCTCGAGAAAAATAAAGAGATAAGGTAATAGTTAACATTAAAGTCCTTCTTAATATTAAGTAGAAAAATAAAGAAATATTTAAAATTTCAACTGTCTTTCTTGAGCGCTTAGCCATGCTGGGGCCCCAATCTCCTCCACTTAGCTCGTTCTCTGGGTGACCTCAGCGGCCTTTCCTCACCGCCGCTGACACAGATACTGGGGAACATCCCTCACCGCTCACTCCTCCCGTGTTCTCATAGATGGTCCCATCTTCCTCAAAAGGCAGTGGAAGCAGAGTCCTTGAATATCTTTAAAGCAGAGGGAACTAAATTCTTGATAAGCAAGGAGGTGAGAGATTATCAGTGGTATGCAAGCACGTAATCAGATCACCACGATCCTACTGAATGGCAGAACAGGCTCGAGAAGTCGACCATAATTCTCCTGCTCCCAGCATTTTATATATAGAAAATATTAACTATGTATCTCCCTCTCTCTCTACACAAATGCTTCAGTAGCCTGATGAGTTCAGATTGTGGTTGATCTTTTTACAACATGAAAGGTTAAGGAGATATACTTCACAAAACTTCGGGGAAAAAAGACCACAAGAAATAAGAGATAGTAAGAACTGCCGATGCTGGAGTCAGAGATAACACAGTGTTGAGCTGGAGGAACACAGCAGGCCAGGAAGCATCAGAGGAGAGGGAAAGTTGACGTTTCGGGCCAGGACCCTTCTTCAGAAATATACGTCAACTTTCCTGCTCCTCTGATGCTGCCTGGCCTGCTGTGTTCGTCCAGCTCCACATTTTTTTGTAACAAGAAATAAGAGCAAGGATATTGCATTTGACAAAAACAGAAATTGCTGAAGAAACTCAACAGGTCTGGAGAGAGAAAGAGTTAACTTTGGATCCTGTGAGCCTTCTTCACAACAGTTCTGAAACATTAACACTCTCTTTCTTTCCACAGATACTGCTGACTTTCTCCAGAATCCGGTGTTTTGCTTTTTCAGGTGGGTTATTGAAGAGGGTGCTGTGGATCCCTGTGGGGCATGAGTGTCTGTACCGCACAGACTGTGTGAATTGCAACACTACGGGACTGGGTCACATGATCCTGCGCCCGCTGCACTGTGGGAAATGGAGTCCGGGAGTCGCCGGAACCTGTCCGTTGAACCGGAAGTTCCTATGTCGGACGTCCGTTGTCAGTCTGCAGCGAAAGTTGGTGTCGTTTAGTGGGTAACGGGGTGAAAAAACGAAATTGTGTTTGAGGAAAAAGAAGGTTGTACTGGGTCCGAAATGCCGGCGGGGAAAAGCTACCGCAGGAGGAGAGAGGAAGAGTCGGATGAGGAGGATGAGCAGAGGGTGGTGGAGGTCAGGTGAGAACCGAGGCTTCAGTGGTCCAGTTAGGCCTCTTGCCCTCCAGCCCCGAGAATAGCCCAGCCGGCGAGGTTCTTCAATCCATTTCTGAGCTGTTAACTGCTTTAAGGGCTCAAGCTTCTGGAGAGGACAGTCTTTGTCTTTATATAGCGCCTTTTAGGATGCCCCAGTGCACTGCACAGCCAATGAAGTGTTGTACTGCAGGAAACGCAGCATCAAGATTGTGCCCAGCAAACCCCCCCCCCCCACGAATGTGATGATAACAAGACTGTGTTGATTGAAGGATAAATATTGACCCAGACAGTGGGGAGTATTCAACAGATCTGGCAGCATCTATGGAGAGAGAACTGGAGTAACGTTTTAAGTCTGATATCAGAGCCATATTTGACTTGAAACGTCAGCTCGGTTTATCTGACCACAGATGCTGTCTGACCTGCTCAGTATACCCAGAACGTTTCCAATACGTGTTCCAGTCGTGTTCAATCGTTAGTCACTGTTTATCTGTTGAATTTCGGATAGTTTTGCATTTGAGGTAGAGCATCAGCCAGAGGATTGTGCTGACTGGCAGAGTGAGTTTGATGAGCTGAATATTCCACACCTCCTATTTTTCTATGTTTTGATTTTCAGTTTTTATCTTCAATTTCCAGCATTTGTTTTGCTCTTACAATGGAGGAGCTTCCTTGCTCTTCAAAGTAGCAGCCATTAGATATCAGTCCAGTCCAAAAATGTACAGGTTAGGTGGATTGACCATGGTGAATTGCCCTGTGGTGTCCAGGGTTGTGCAGGCTAGGTGGGTTAGCCATGGTAAATGTGGGGTTATGGGGATAAAGTAGGGGTTGCTCTTCAGAGGGTTGGTGCAGATCTGATGACCTCTGCTTGCACTGCAGGGATTCTATGATTTGACATCTACCCAAGCAGGCAGATGGTGTTTCTTGTCTCAAGAGAAACAGCACTTCCAACGGTCCGGCACTCCCTTAGTACAACATTCAAGCGCCACCCTGTGCTCTGGGCCATAGCTGACTGCTAAAGTCTAAAACATCCTCTGA